AACGTGCTAGTCCTCCATTATATGGGGTACGCACTTGCTGCTGTCGTTGGTGATACTGCTGGGGCTCTAGTGATCCCCACAAGAGCGGTGCAATGTTTATTTATTGACTATTATCCGCACACTGCTGCCCTTACTCGAACGCAGCATGCCGAAGCAGGCAGCGGCGGCGTCTCGTTGAGCGTCGTGCTTACTTATTGACCATTGTCCATCGTACAGGTGCGCAGGGGACGAGCCGAAGGGCGAAAGCCGAAGGCTTCGAGGGTCGTATTGGCAAGTCAGCACTTCATATCTGGCTCCAATTATGGTGATTCGTTCTCCTCGGGTAGGGCAACACTCATATCGCAAGTCGGACGATGAGGGCAACGCCATGAAGAGGTAGCTGCCGCCTGTAGAACTCGGAGGCAACAGAAACCATACTAGCAAGTGGCGTAGTTATGTAGCATCAGTGCGCTACGTTTCCACTAACATGGTCGCGTTCTCATTATTTGCTGATCCTTTGATTCTTGTTTTCGCCTGTAATCTCTATTTTTTGCTAGGAGCTCCTGCTGGGGATATCCACAACGTAGCCTGGAAATTGATGGCTTGTTTTTGCTCATCGGCCGAACGAGACAGTGATCTTGAAAGAAACAAGAAGCAAGCATTCAATAGCATGTAGCAGTAACTAGCGCTTGCGCTCGCTATCTAGTCTAACATATATGCATAAAATGCATTGTGCGTACGTATATTTACAGGTTACGTCCTGCAGTGCAGAGGATTTATGGGCTCGGTTCTTAATTTTGGTTTACTGTACATCGGCCGAGCCAGCCTGAAACTTCTAACTAGGTCGAGGAAGCATCTGACCCGGATTCGGAAGGAGCAGCCTGTCAATCTATTTTGCATATAGGATTAATGACCTATAGTGTCACCTGAATAAATTTCCGCTAGTTGTTCTCGCGAGATTCTATTCATTGTACGTTACGCTGTGTACTCCAGGACGATGATAGAAAAAAAAAGAACAATTTACTACTTGCGGTGGACGGGATTGAACTATATGTACCATAACAGCCAACTGCTGCTGTACGCATGCACATTCATATTATGCGTGCCAATGACCGTCCTGCTATCCTGACATTGCCGCTACGGGATTCTTTTGAATTCAGGAATAAACTGCCGTCCGTTTGAGGACTACAACACAGCAGTACATCCTGCTTCACGCGGAACGCACATATAGTGATTCTGGAAGTACGGCCGCTGTCAATAGTTTTTTTCTCCTTTTTCGTAGCCTCTCTCCTCTGCCGGTACTAATATATGTTACCGTCAATGACACTGATTTTAACGGTACTGCTTTTGCTACAGTTATTGTTGTCGAAACTTATTTAATCAATATGCAACAAGCAAGTGCTAGGACTATCTTTTTTTTGTTTGGGGAACCGCACAAGGTCTACGATGTACGCCGGATACTAGAAGGACGATGCGACCGGCCTCGGCGGGACAAAGGAAGAGAGAGGAAAGGATATCATCACAGGCTCGATTGTGGAAATCATACCATATTCCGTTCATCCATGCGCCTAACACAATCGGATTTTAGGCAAAAAGGAAACACGTCAGGGCAAAATGGTTAATGGCTTCAAAGTGACATTTACATTATCGTTTCGTATTGTACGGCGCTATATTCTATCATCGATTGAATCTTCGAGCGCAACAGCGGCATCCGCAGCAGCAGCAGCAGCAGCGGCAACCTTTGTTTTGTGGTCTACCATATCGTGGTATGTCCTTGTGGACGTGCATGTATGCGCCTGGGTTTATGTCGTGTCGTGTCCTGTACGCCGAGTCGATACAAACAATTATAGAAGATGGATGAAATTGTTCTTACTACTGCATCTGTTTTAAATCATTTCGCGGCATTCTGGCTATATTGCATCTGTGTAAGCGTCCGTGTAGGTCACGTAAGAAATAGAAGCTGGTCTCCTGCAGAGTAGTTCGTTGAGACAGCCAAAATGATTGATAATAACTTTAATGCCATCAACGTCAATTAAGCTCACAATTAGCAGCAGCAAATGAAGACAATGCGAAGACCTATGCTTTCGTTTCGGCATGAGCTGTGGCTGAACGTTACTCGGTTTGCGCGACACGTTCGGTCGTTTCACAAACAATTGACTATACAATAACAACAACTCAGTACATTTATGCGTCCTGCTCTTTTTACCTAGCGGTTCTAATCTAACAGTATCATAGTAAAATGACGAACTAGAATTAAATTAAAAATCCAAAACAGAACACTCAAGAGCTTGCGATACACATACCGTTGGTATCCGACCTAACAGCGGCGTAGGTGTGATTAGAAAATGTGGTATATATACTAGCTGCCAAGTTCCCAAAAGCATAGAGTTGAAACGTAGTGGTTCCTATCTAAACCAGCAGCGCCAATTGATGCTATCGTACACAAGGACAAAAAAATAAAGCCACACATGGATACTAATTTTTTGTACTACCCCGACCCTTCTCCCCCGCGCCATTAGTATCATTATCATTACCTCGCTGCTCATCAATAGCGTCGTCGATCTCGTTATATATTAGTTCTCAAGGTAATAGAATTTATAAAAATAAGCCGCTAATCCAAACTGCGTCCAATTTGTTGCTGATGACAGTGGGCTAGTGGCCCGCTGAAAAGCGCCTCCAACCCACAGCAGACACTGCCCCAGCTGTTGTTACGACCAGCGACAAACAACGCCGCTGCTGTGATTAAGTCCAACAGGCCGACTACTTGAGACAACGACGAAAGTTTTATGCAGGGAAACAACAACAACAATAATGGTAGCAGCAGTGGCCACTCAATCTACAAACTCTTAGCAGATAAAACAAGATAGCAGCAGGAGCGGAAATCCATGAGCAATAGATAAAAAAGAACACATGCACTTGCTCACTTTACGATCAAATACGACGACAGGCCTGTTGATGTTGATTTGGGCGGTGACAGGTACTAAAAAATGACAACGACGACACCGTCGCGCCCGCGTTGGTGGGGGCGACGACCAACGCGCTCGTAAACAACCGACGTGGACCTCCTACTATGTCATAACGGCTTCGCTCAAATCTGCTTCGGCAGCAGATTCTCTTGCGATCAATATCATCGTCGATGGTCTGCCTGTTGTTGTTATTGTGTCTGCAGAAACCTTGTTTCTGTTTATTGATCGCTGTGATGAGCGGCGACGGGGACAGTCGACGTTTATGGTGGTGTCGATACAGCCGTCGCCGTACAGCTTCTGCAGCAGCCGCTGGCAATGAGAGCGGCAACTACTTGTAACTGTCTCAGGTTGTCGTTGTCGTCGTGAGTCGACGGTCTCGAGCATACAGTATCCCATAGAACCACGAACAGATCCATCATTATTGAAGGGGCCGGAATCATAATGGACGGAGGGCAATGCACGCACATGAAGAATAAAAAGCGTAACAATACTGTCTGTCCGTACTTTTCTCAGCTAAGTAATGCTACGATGGTTTGTCAGCGTTGCTATCCTCGTCGTAACTTTTCCTGCTACCGCTTAAGATAGCGCCATATTTGAAAGAGTGTGCAGTCTACGCGTGCGTTTCCATTACCTGTAACCAGTAGTACGGTTAATGAACAGCCTCAAGCACTAATTTGGGTAATCAATTTATAACGTTCCGTTGTCTGTCCGATTGTCTATGCGCAACGACATTGTTGTCCGCAATTGTTGTTGATATTACATTAGCGTTGTTGTCGCGGTTGAACCCTGACACAACAAGGCCCAATGACGCCAGTAACAATAGCATGAGCCACTTACAGCTGTATGTTTTATCCAGGCGTGGCATACCCAATTTCGTTATTAGGTTCGTCATCCATCGCTCTCTTCGAGATACATTTGAGCGTTACTTTTGCGGTCTCTCTTCGTTTCGATTCTTTGCCCCTGGACCAAGGCATTTGCCTCATGGCAGCCGTTTCTCCAACTGATCAGATCTTATCAACTTCATTCGGCTGCATCTTCGCTTGTGTAGTTACCTAAAATACGACACATCGCCCAGTAATCCAGGATGAATCCGACCGTCACCCAATATGTATGATTGTGATAAAATCTGTTTTTGCGCCAAAAGCAATGAACCGAAATTCACTTATTGCCTGAAACGAGCCAACCAATTTACTGCTGCTGATGATCTATGACAATGCGAGCTATAGATGCAGTCCGGTAACTACTTGATCCTCGTAATGATAGCGTGTCTTCTCTTAATTAGAAGATTGTGTAATGGCAGAAGATATCGACAGGTGGGTGTCATTATAGCTGTTCTGGGATTTAATCCTACCTACTCAATTTGTAATAATGTTTATAGTGGCAGTGGGCAGCAGAGACGATTGTCGTAATCGAAGTTTCATTGACGATCGCGCAGTGATGCCCATGGCGAGTTTGACGGCGGGTTCTTACGCATGCTACTGCTGTCACATTGTCGTTTGATCCTTTCTACAATACAATTCAATAACGGAGGGGCAAAACGCGTAACGAGCCGGTGACAGGACGAAATAGCTGCAGCAAGCAGTAGCTAATTGAGACGCGGGCGTCCGGTAGAGTCGAGCAATAATGGGAAATATGGACAAAATTTACATGGTTGTCTACACCATGCATGGAGTTTCGCCGGTGCCATACTATGAAAATTAACGATGAATTCAATTTCTCCAGCATCATCGTACGATAACCATTAGCTTGTGACCCGGACTGCGTACGGCTGCACCTTCGAATCGGAGGCTCGACCCGCTGTTGTTTTTCGAAGTTCTCCGATAGCTGGCTAAAAACAGCCAGCAGTTGCCCGGAGTTGTTTATAATACGAACACTAACATAGAAGAAATTGATGAACGAGCTCGTTGGTTGATTACTATGTGCATTCAGTATTTATAGCGTGCTATTCGTGCACTCTAATAGCTCGTAGTATATGTCTTTTTTTAATTAAATTATCTATTCTACATATTTGCGTGGAGAATTCTAACCGAAACAATGTTTTCTGCATTGTTTCAGATCTACACACAACGAGCTGGAGAAAAACAGGTATGTAGCGGTTTTAACTGTGCCCACTTCGAGAGTGCTCGTCAGACGAGAGGCCGACTGCTATCTTCGTAGGAGTTCACTAGCAGTGGTTCGTTTACCCACTAAACTTTAGGACACGAAATGACGTGGTCTAGGTTCAAAACCGGACAAACACACCCGGTCCGCTGTGTATCAGAGGCGGCCAATCGTCGCGAGCGGTCGGATTCGGAGCATTTAGACCGACTTCATTTGGTCGCGCAACGGGAGTCAAAGGCATCCAGTACGTAGTGCGCTTGCCAATGAGAATCCACAGGGCCAAAATAATTGTCGATCCACCAAAACGGATGCATTAACAGAGGTCCACTCAAAGTCGTAGGACTTCGAACTGCTGACGCGGAAGCGGGCCGACAACAACGCTTTAGCACCCATGCCTGCTAACAAGCAACTGTAGTGGAAATAGGGTCATGCCAGGGCAAGAGCTAGTGTGACTCGATTGCTTAGTGTAACCCGCTGGCCGTGGGTAGCCCCAACTTCAAGACTTGTCAGCCGTTACGATCGGAAATTTCGATACGGGTATCAATAGTAGTAACAATAGCATAAGAATCGTCACCGACCGCAATTATACATTTCATCAATTACTATAAATCAATTATATTCTAATTAATTACTAGTAGTAATGTGTCGTCGGCTCTGTACGGACCGATGGAGATATCGCGTTTCTCTCTCTCTCGTAGGTAAATGATGAAAAAAAAATGACCGGTGGGAGTGAGGCGTTTCATCGATTCCACGTTCATTGCAAACAAAGCAGTGTTCAGTAGTAGACAATTGAGGGGTATTCATCTTTAAGTAGTTACGATATGGCTTCCGAGCCCTTTGCGATAACACATCGTTGAACGACTCCTAATGCTCTATGGATTGTTTCGATACAAATGCAACTGCAAACGTCTCTCGGTAATTAGATAGTGTTACTACTGCTGTTCAGGCTGCTGACTAGCTAGTAAAAAAGAATTATCTCAAGAATGGCCCATTACGTTTTTGTAAGCATTTGTTGTGCCGGACACGAAGATGGCATACTGTGAATTTATTTTCTGTATACTTTCATTAGCTTTATTGCAGAATCAGAAAGGAAGATGCTGCCTTGGGCCCGTTTGGCTTCAACACACACACACATACATACAGACAAATGCCTGTTACTTGGATCCAGGTTTGATTTGATATTTTCAACTATATGTTATGACTAACTATTCGAACGTGGGTTGAACGTAGCCTGTTTCGCAGATATGATGTTACATAATGGATTTGTGTACAGGCAAAGTTTAAAGACGTTCTTGTTGTTGGCGTACCACCTGTCTGTGCTGCACGACCTATCTGATCTCGGCATCTCCTTCTCGAATAACGCGAAACAATAGGCATCAAATGTGTCTGGTAAAGCGCCTGAGCGGCCAACGATGATACGAGTAGTAAGTGACGAAGCCAAGAACAGAGAGGACAAAACGCACAAATCATATATTCCTTCTACGGTATTTACTCTCGATCTCTATCTTTGCATTTTCGCTCTGGCCTGCATCAGTGCTTCTGTGCGTCCGCTGTGTTTCTTTCTGCCTGAATTAGCTTGAAAATTCCCCCCTAGCTTCGTATTACCTCGCTCGTATGACTTTTCACTATGGCCGGTGCCATTGTTCTCCCTTTAAATTTCTTATTCTTGTTATAGTTTAATTGGACGAGGCGACTCGACCGTACCATGAGCGCTGCACGCTACCTACAACATCCGCAGTGATAGAACGGCCACTTGAACTCTGCGACCAGTGAGAGCGGCGCCCAGTGAAGCAGCGGCTGGTCGAAGCGAGAAAATTCAAGTTATACTTCAGTGAGCAACACGTGAACTGAGAAATGTATAATTGTTATCAAGTTTCACATATTGTTATATATGTATAAAAAGCATAAACTATGGATGGAGTGAAGCAGCATGAAATATAGGCGTGTATTACTCAGTCACACGACTGGCGGTACTACGTATATGATAGAATTTACAGGCACAATCGTACCAGTGGCGCTGTTAATTTTGGCTTTGATGGTGCTACCGGGATAGACTGCGTACGCGAGTAGTAATGGCGTCGACGCGCGACCCAGAAGGGGCAGCACTGTGGCAGAGTTTTGCGGTAAGGGGCATAATTTCGCACGCATCCAAATCGGCTGCGGCAGTGACAACAGGCAGCAGCATAAAAAGTAGATATCGCCACGATCGTTGCTGCCGCTGCCGCCGCCGCCGCCGCCGTATGTCGTCTCAGAGCCGTTCGCGTGCGTCTAATATCGTCATCGTCATTATATATCCTGACCGAACAAGCTGGCAACCAGCTGAGCGCCCCGTGCTCGTATTCCCTGGAAACTGTTTTTTATTTCTGGGTAAAATATACATTGCGCATTGGCCATTCCGTGTTTCTCATTACGCGTTGTTTACATCACTGTTGTTGTTTTGTTTTGTCCGAAACGTCACTCACCAAACGTGCTACTGGTGACAGAGTACCAAGCCTCGTAGTTCCCGCAGTAGCAGACGCTGCTACTTCTGTGCCTATGGGGCTTATCTCGAGCGTTGTCATTGGAAACTTCAAACATGTTCGGCGTCAGAAGTTGCAGGAGGAAGATCTACAGGAAACTGTGCTCAAATACTCACGTGCGTTCCACGTAAGACGCTGGAAGAGATGCGAGAAAAACGATACAAAAAGTACGACATGAAACGAACAAGCAGCCTTTCAAGCTTACGTTGCGTCACCCCCTCTTGATTTTTCCTGACGAGAATGCCCCAGCATTATAAATCCCACTGTCGACTGTACTTCACTCTGTGCGTCCGCACGCCCAGTTGGCTGTTTGCGCTACACAAAGAAATATAATCAAACCCACACATACACCTATGCCACTGAAGGTGGTAATACGGAGAGCATAATTTTATTCGGCATCGGTTGATCTCGAACATTGTGTTGTTATTCGGTGCATTATCTTTACGAGCAGATTTGGACATTTTACTCTTTGCTCACAAAGGTTACGTCGATCTGAAGCGCATCAGTACGTACTCTCTCATTCGTAGAATAAATATTCGCATGTATCGTACGACTCGCCTGAGTATCGTCAGCATTGCCAAGTACTTAGGCATTTTGGGGGTTATCTCCGTGGACGCTGAGGCTTCTTTTCCGATTGTGTTCCTGCTCGTTTTATGCATCCAAAATGTGAATCTGTATCCAGTGAGCGGGCTAGCACGCGTTACGTATCGTCTCTGTCACGTAGACAGATACGATGATGAGGATGACTCCCTCGATAACAACTGCTGTAGCCGCGGCTTCAGTAGTGGCAACAGCAGCAGGAGCAGCACCCACTCGAAGCGAGTAGAGTCACCATCATTTTGATTCACCGAAATCTGTATCTTGCAATAAGGGATCCGTAATTACTCGAAATCGTAGCTGACGCTAGCAGCAGCAACAGCGAGGAGAAGCTTAGAGTTACTAGAGAAACGGAAGCTCGAGTTGAGGGTAACGTGGCTGAGCAGATGGTTTTCGGGAAGCTGACTAAGCATGACTAAAAATATATAAAGACAGCGACTCCATGTACATAGCTGTAATTATTTTGATGCCGTACACTTATTTTTTGGACCCCTTGCTATTTGCCTGTCCAAAAGGGGACTAGGGGGTAAGCCTTCCGTACTCTTTGTCGCCGAAAAATATTTGTTTGAAAATTCGCTTCATCCAACAACATACATTATAGGGCAACGACTGCTGATACATGAAAACACCTAAGCGGCTTATTATAAGCCTTGTAAATGTGTACATAGACAGACGAGGAATAGAGAGAAGGGTGTCGCAAGGCGTCCACTCATCGTTTCTCTTCCAACGTATTTTGTAGTCTCTACATTTCCTGCCCTCGAGCAAAAATGCCCTCCCGTCGACCACATCAACTTGCAGAGCCTTCTGACGTTAGCTCTATGAAATCTTAAGTTAAATTCCCGTATCGAGACTCGGATTTTTTATGACGGGTGTCATCTGTAACCATCATCATTTGAAGATGATAATAATAATAATAGTAATACGATTGTCGTGTGATGCTCGATAATGTGTGGGCGTTCGCTGAGTAAATCTCATCGACATGTCCCCATCTTGCTTAGTAATATTGACCAGCGTTCATTTCAGTAGACATGATTGGGTATATATAATGTGAAGTACATAAAATCTAACCAAAATAAGAAACAAACCTTTTCAATGAAAATTAATCCCGACTGGCCACCTCATCCCGCGACCCCTCTTCCCACTACCGTTTATTTTTTCTAAATAAGTAAACAACGCTGTAACTGAGGTAGTTCTTGGAGATCGGAAAATAGATAGAACATCGAAGGTCTCTGGTTCATTTTTTGCAATGTCAGTAGAGGCGTTCGACGATCACTGAATAAAAAGAACCAGTTAAATTTTAACCTAATTTGAATCAAGCAATTTTAACCTAATTTGTTCAAGCAATATAGTCACGATTACCGACATCCCGCTTGATTAGTTTTGATATAGAGCAGATATACGAACGTATAGATGAAGCACTTTTCCAATTCTATTTTCCATTCCGTTGTTGTTTGCTACCGGGTCTTGCCGTACTGACGTCGACTGCTTACGGCGGTGCTTACGACTCTGTGTACAACTTCAGCTAGGGCGGCTTATTTCATCTTTGCGGGGTCATCATCTGTCGTCCGCGCAACATACGAACGGCAATTTTTCACTATGCCCACTCGGATCTGGAGGCCCATAAGTAGATATACAACGCAGACGCAAACTGGGCTAGAACGTTCAGGCATGTTTACGTGCATCTATCAAAGACTGCTAATTGTTCATAATTGAAACTAGCCATCGATCGCTTTTTACTTTGTGTGAACATCTCCGATTTTATGGGTTTCGTAGTCGACCCGATTTCAAGCGAGTATTCAGCTGCTGCGGTTGCTATTGCTGACGATAATTTTTATACAGAATAAAGCAAACACGTTTGTCTTTGTCTTT